CTCGGATGTCGGTTAGTTCACATGTACCCTATAATTATATTACTTAATTTTGCGGATACATGTATTGTACAATTCAATATTGTATTATGAAATTTTTAAATTGTTTCTAAAGGAGAAATAATTATTACTTACATAAAAATCTTTTACATGTAACTGTATCAAGGAGAATTCAAAATATAGCACGTCTGTAGATCAAAGTATTAATAGGGCAGCTGTGAATCGCCTCAGTTCAGGTTTGCTTAATGGATTTTTGAATTGATTTCTGCAATGATCATGAGTGCACAACAATAAATAGTATTTTAAAGTGTATGAAACTTGCTACTATAATTATTATGAAATTGAATACAGTACCGTATATACTCACCTATAATTTGGTTCGCCTATAAGTCGGTAACTATTGTATTTAATAAGCTTATATATCAGAGGGACTGACCTCATATAATACCATTCATTTTATAGCTCGCTTATAAGTCGGACATAAAGTTTTGGACATAAAGAGATTCACTCCCAAAAATCCGACTTACATGTATAGGCGAGTTTATTCGGTAATTTGTTTGTTTTGTAGACATCAGTGATGTGAAAAATGTGACTGACCCTCTGACCAAGGTCAAGGTCGGACTGGTATCCAATGACGACATGCCTGTGTCCCTCATAGAAGCCCACATTAGAGCCAAACTGATTGACCTCGCAGGAGAGGTAATGCAGACCAAAATGAATTAGTTAAACATGAACATCCTTTCTTATTAAGTTCCTATTATGTTTTATCAGATTACTTTGCAGTTCCTTGTTTTAAATTTTATAGAGACTCAATATACAAACTAAGATACTCAGATTCAAATATGACTCCATTTATAAACATGAATTAAGTATTGTATATAACCTGGTTTGTGTCAGTTTACGCTTTATAATCTGCGAAGCTTTTTAGATATTAACCAATCAGAGGCTAGAATACGTCAAACAAAGTGAAATTATTCGATTAATATTTGCAATTTTGTTTGTTTAATACCTATTATTCTGTATGAAAACAACAGGTAGTGGTTCTACAAGAGTACCACAACAGTAGTGATAAAGCTCTGGAAGCTAAATACGTCTTCCCTCTGGATGACATGGCCGCGGTCTGCGGATTTGAGGCCTTCATTAACGGTAAACACATCATAGGGGAGGTGAAGGAGAAAGAGACCGCCCACAAAGAATATAAACAGGCCATCAAGGAGGGGCACGGGGCGTATCTAATGGACCAAGACGAGGAAACTCCGGTAAGTCAGAAAATGGGAGGATATGGAATTAATTGTGTTGTATCTGGGTTATTTTTCCCTACTCCTTTAACTCTAAAGCAAACAATTGTTGCCTAATAATTCCGCATTTTTCAGAATACTCTAGACTTACAATTTTCTTGTACAGAGATCATTTGAAAAGTGTTTTTATTGGTTTTAATTTCATGAGAGTTATATCTTCAGATGGCTTTTTTTAATTTTATATCATGGGCATTTTTATTAAATTTGAAAAAATCCATGTTGAATTCGTCTATTTCAGTGAAGTATTTTATATGATATTACAATCTTAAATAACTCAGTTGTCAGAATAAATTGGAGACAATGTAGCCGCTTCTTTGGTCTATTTATAGGAGGTATTCACAGTGAGTGTAGGAAACCTCCCCCCTAAAGCTACAGTCATCATTAAGATCACCTACGTCACAGAACTACAGGTAGAAGGTGAACTCATCAACTTCCGACTCCCTGGCAGCGTGGCGCCATGGAAACAGAAGTATGTTGATGCTCCAGAATTCAAAGACAAGGTTTGTGGTTTTTAAAGGTTGAGGAAATTGGAATAAAGATAGGCAGTTTTAAATTTGTATATTAAGTTTCAAACATATTAAGTATCAGGTAAAATATTGAATTTTTTTGCAATTTTCTGAAAATGAAGTTATTTTAAAAAATACAGTTCAAAACAAAATTAAGAAATGAGAGTATTCTTTCAATTCACTTTTGTCAGATTTTTTGGTATATATGAATTGTTCATGTTTCATGTGCATGGTAAATCACACTCAATGTGACAATGTTTGATTGATGCACATTGTTAAAACAGAAAGAAACCTTAAGGGGATGAAGGACCTTTAGCTGAAAAAATACCTGTCATTTAATTTTTTTCATATTTTGTACATATCTTATTTAGTATGTCCTACATACTATAAAGCAGACATATCAATAGGTTTCTAGACTTATTTCTGAGATATTGAGTGACAAATACCATACCCCACAGTGTCTGATCGGAGTTTTTATTCTCCGTGTTTCTGGGTCCATTACTCGGTCGATAATTGAAATTTTTCACCATAGATAAAAAATATACCAGCGGAATTGTGTCTTTTAAAATATTTTAGAGTATGAGTAGGGTTAAAAATTCGAAAAAGCAAGATTTTTTGTAACACCATATCTGGAGACAGAAATTTACGACTTTTTTAGGACAACTTAAACCATAAAAAAATTAATTTGCAAAAAATCCTATCATTCAATATTTGAAAATTTACGTCGAAGTTCAAGGTCCTCATTGTATTGATTAACTGTAAAAATATTGATTGGTGAATCTGAGCTCAATATTGCACGGGGCAAAGTTAAACGAGTCATGATCATGAAAAAAACGTGTCATGTTTACATTTCTCGAGTACGGGAAAACCCAACTGTGACGTCACACATTCCTAAAATAAGCGAAATAAGACAAACCCACAGAACTTTTCTGTCAACAACCATGTAAAAATATTTTTTGCGTTCTGAAATTTACAAAATACCCTACCATGTACATATTATGGCCCGTTTTTATGATTTTATACTACCCGTTTTTACCGTGTATGATCTTACTGAACTAAGAGATCCACTATGACGTCAAAGACGCACTGGACGCGCAGAGTAGGGAAACGGCAGAATGGATTAATCTATTCCGTAATTTGATAAAATTTGCAAGAAATTTTGAATGTTTTCAGATATTTTTATACTAGATGGTGAACGCAAACAAACAGTCAAAAAAATTATACAAGTACTGTGGTTTCAATCTCGTTTTGTACATATTTTATCAGAGATTATGACGTAAATCAACTGAGTCACGTGACCATACATCCTTCATCCCCTTAAGTCTTATTGACAGAAATTTAGTGTATCATATGCTGATTTCTGACTTTCCCCCTCAGGACTGGGATACAGTACAGGTTGAGGACACAGACTGCAGTGTACAGGTTTACGTAGACATGCCTTTTGATATCAGAAGTCTGGAATGTCCTACTCACAAAATTCTTGTAAAGGTAAAACCATCTCTATACACTTCGGTGAATGTTAATGAAAAGTACAGACCGAGTGTACTGTTGTATAAGACCTTTGACATTGTACTGTTATTCTCAAATCTGCACTAAGATATAAAACATTCATGATGATATAGATACCTTGAAAATTAAGACAGCTCTGATATAATTTTTTTTTTGTTTAGAACTGTGCAGACTTTTTCTATGGTTAGTAAGTACAATGAGTACAACCTGATGTGTCCGCCGGGGCTCATAGAGAATAAGTTAGTAGTACAATGAGTACACTGGGGAGTGAGTACATTTAAGGGTGTTGTATTCTGTAGAGAACAGCCACTAAAGCCACGGTGGAGATGAAGGAAGACCAGACAATAGAAGATGGCTTCCAGTTACTGATTGGTCTAGCTGAGATCCACGTACCGCGGATGTGGGTGGAATCTGATGAAGGCCAAGATTCACAGGTATTTTAAAATTGTTGTGTATTTACCTTAGGTGCAAAATCAATAAAGTTTTCCTTTTTACCATGCACCTAAAAGTGTAGGTATACAGGCAATTGTAACTTAAAAGAATTTAATTTTACTTGGTATTTTAAATAAAAATTGAAATTCCTATTTAATTATAATAAAAAGAATAATGTTGAAACAGTTTTCAAAAAGCACAAATAAGATTGAAAACATAGTTTGGTGAAGATTTCAAATGAAACTGAAGTTAGACTCGCATTAACATGATAAATGATTTATGAACTCGACTTCTTTGTCCATTGGTTTGATACATGTATGTTTACTGATATAAATCCCAGGCTTTTATGCTGACTTTTCACCCTAATTCTCTGTTAGGTTTTACACTTTTTGGTTGATATGTTTTCCGGTTTACAGAAATATCTATATATATAAATGATTTATGAACTCGACTTCTTTGTCCATTGGTTTGATACATGTACTGATTTAAATCCCAGGCTTTTACACTGACTTTTCACCCTAATTCTCTGTTAGGTTTTACACATTTTGGTTGATATGTTTTCCGGTTTACAGAAATATTCTATTATAATACTAGTAGATGTAATCTAATTCTCTGTCAGATATCTACCATTGTATTGATATTTATTCTGGTTTTAATTATCAGGCCTGTATGCTGACCTTTTATCCTGAGTTTGAGGCTGAGGAGGAGTCAGAGGTCGAGGTCATTTTGATGATTGACAGCTCCAACTCCATGAAAGGCTCCGCCCTCCAACAAGCCAAGAAAACTGCTCTGTTAACTCTACATCTCATGGAGTCCAGCTGGAGATTTAATGTGGTGTCTTTTGGAACAGGTAAAATTTTGGGAAATGATTTTAGACAAAATAGAATTAATATAGTTAAAAAAAAAAAGTAACAGCAATCCTGCATACAGTGAGTATAATTATGCTTACAGCCAAGTGATTTTCATTCCATTAGTTCGGCAAAAAAAAATAATTTCTTGGTTCTCAGGCCCTCCCTCATCTCTTCCAAGGGTGCCTCATTGACCCTTTTTATTGCTAAATCAATAAAATAAAAACACCAAATCACCTCCTTCATCATTTTTGAGGTTTTGTACAATGTAAAAAGCTGCCTCATCATGTTTTAGGGGCAATAAAAAAGAAAAAAAAATGCCTCCCTCCCTCATCATATTTCATGAAAAAAGGCCTGAGAACCAAGTAATTAACTTTGCATGGGCTTAGGAAAAAATAATATTTTTGGATGTAAGAAATTAAGTTTTTAACAAAGTTAAAATATTTTTTGGCTCAGGTTATTTGCATATTAAATGATTTTTTTAGTGGCTAGCTGTTCATATTTTGTCTGTTGATCATGTTGATAGAAATTGTTCCAGATAATTTTCTCTCCCGGACCTGTACATCTTTTAATAACATGAATTATGTAGAAGTATTTTAAATCTTAAGTTTGGAATTCAAGTTATCTTTCTGTGGAATTTTGTATGTTTCAGCTTTCCAAGAGCTTTTTCCGTCCAGTCAGCCTGCCAGTAAATTTAACATACAGGCAGCCAAACAATTCATACAGGCAAGAAATAAAAATTTTAAAACAATAACCACTTGGATTAGTGACAATGAACAAAATAGTTACAAAAGTACTGCTTGTATATGGCCTTTATTAATTAATTTATAATTTTTTCTTTTGATTTCTCTTTCAGAGGCTGCAAGCAGACGAGGGTAACACAGAACTTTGTCGACCTTTGAACTCTTACTACCTCCTAAAACCAGAGAGTTACACCAGGAATATCTTCCTTATCTCTGATGGCCATATAAATAACGAGGAGACAACTCTGTCCAAAATCTCCCAAAATTACCAGCACACCAGGGTCTTTACACTAGGGGTCAGGTAATGTCAGAAAATATTTTTAAAGAATTTGTTTGAAAAAATATATCCGACAGTGTACATGTACATATATAGTAACATTGATAAGCAGGAGGGAGGGAGTTCAGTATTTTAACATTTTTAGCATAAATTTTAATAGAATTTAATTGAATTCAGTTACTGTAACAGTTTAATATAAGCATATTAATAATTTTATTTCTTTCATATTATATTTAAAGCTCTGTGGCCAATCGTCACCTACTGAAAGCTGTGGCCAGAGTAGGAGCAGGGTCATTTGAGTTTTACGACTCCAAATTCAAATCCAAGTGGGAGGAAAAGGTAAATATTTTGTCTTTAAATTAAAAAACAAATTAAGATAGCATAATGGCAGTTTTTTCCCCTCCATATTCCAATTCCCCCTCTCTGATTATCAATCCAACATTTTCTATTTTTAGGTCAAGTCCCAGTTACAGAAAGCTGCCCAGCCAGTGCTGACCTCTGTATCTGTTGATTGGCGCCATGACGACCAGCACCCTGCTCCCATCCAAGCTCCGCAGCAAATAACCGCCCTGTTTAGTGGGTCCCGACAAGTCATTTATGGCTTTGTGGACAACTGTTACATGGTTTGTTTTGCATGTATTTTGTTCAAAAGAAATCCATAATTTTTTTGGGCCTTGAATTTGAGTTTTATAGTTAAAAAGTTAGAATAATTTAGTTCTGAATCAACATTTTTGGTACTGATAATTTGTAAAATTACAGGGACCATTATTTTTTAGATTATGCACTAATGAAAGAGAAGTGCTTTCTTTAGTGAATATATTTTGTTTTCTATTGGTATTTTAACTTAACTGAATGACAGTGTAAATTTACTATTTCAGGCAACTCTGAAAGCAGAGGTTGGAGGTCAAGAGATATCAACAGTTGTGTCGACCTCTGACCTTAGTGTCACAAAGGGCAAGGTCAGTTTTACAACTTACAGATAAATACAGACAAAAATAAAATCCCATTCAGGCTGATAGAATGTCAGGCTTTTTGCAATAAATTACAACATTTCTTACCATCAAGATTTTATGAGACACTCCTTTCTGATGATTTTTATTTTTCCTTTGAATTCAGTAAGGCTTTTGATGAACTGTTATATAGAATATCAGCCACTGATTCTGATTTATTTTTAGATGCTGCATAGGCTGACTGCCAAAGGGGTGATCAGAGATTGGGAAGACGGAGTTCTCTCCCCTGATAGAACAGGACATGAGGTAAAATAAACAAAAATAGAATTTGATATATATTGCAATTGATGAATTATTTTCTCAGCCAAAGCATCTTTAAATGTTAAAAACATTATACATATCTCTTTAATGCAAAAATTTTGTATATAATAATATTTCCAAAGTTCTGATTTGTAGAAACATTTGTATTACAATTGACATGAATTAGATGGTAATTAATATACAAAATGTATTATTTAAATACAGTATGTATTTTTTTTTTTTGAATTTCAGGTGAGGAAAATGAACCTGAAGCAGTATATTATAGAGCTGAGTAAGAAGTACACCATCGTCACATCACTCACCAGCTTTGTCGCCATCGAGAAACGAGAAAAGGTAATCACTTCTGAAATATTGTTATTAGTAACTTTTTCATCTAAATTTTCAATTTTCCATCTAAATTCTATGGATCTCACGTCAAGAAAAAAAAACAGATTATGAAAATCAAAATATTTTAAGATTATTGTACTACATTTCTTTGTTATGATTTTATAATCTGAAAGTCCTTTTGAGATTAACTTAAGTCTATACAATGTAATTAAAACTGAGAACATCAACATCTAAATGTAGGCACTTCCTTCTTAAAATATATTGACTCCTTTGACCTTTAAATCTTTAAGTATCTAATATTTTTGCCATATAACACATACATGCATTATAGACACCATTTTGAAATTCACACTTCATGTTAATTTTTTTAATGGACCCCTGGATTAATTAATTTGCAGGATGAGGTGATTCCCGAGGATGCTCCAGATGTCTGGGACCTCCTGGAAAACGAGGACGTAGATCAGCTGAAATATTTATCCTGGGAAGGAGAGGAGGTACATTTAATAGAACTTGCAGAAGAAAAAGTCACATGACCACTGATTTCTATTTAATATAGTAGAAATTTATTGCACCAATTTTATCATGTTTAAAATTTAAAGATTGTTTAGTAAACGTTTCATTATTTTTCTAATTTCATTCATGTTTTACGAATTTTCTAAATTTTAAATTTTTTTTTTATTTCTGTTGGATAACTATACAATACAAATTCACATGCAACATTTCAGACAAATATAATATTGACTTTTTATTGCTTTTTTAACCTTATACATGTAATACAGAGGGCTCATCATGAGATTATAAACTGATTGACAGGCTAGGGGATGCTTACTTGTCTTAGGCCCCCTGATCTCACCTCCCGTGTATTACCAGGGGAAAGATGTTATATTTTCCGTTTTTCCGTTAATTTCTATAGTGAAAAACACAAGTTTTACCAAAATTTTAGAGTTATCTCTCTTTGTTTTACCAAATAAGTAATGTTTTATAAAAATCCATATAATTATATCTATAAAGAATATAAAAAATTAATTGTATATGTTAACTTTTGAAAATTGACTTGGAGGTATGTGGGAGAACATGCAATACTATCGTTCGCAGTTCTTTCCACTTAATATACGGTAAACTGTAAACTTACTTTTTTCCATGGGTCAATCATTATTTCGCTAAATTTCCACTTACACGATATACTGTAAACTAACTTTTTTCATGGGTCATTATTCCGCGGGATCTCAATTAGTGTTGAATCAGCGTGTAGAAAATCATGCAGATTTCTTAGACTGTTACTATATACTTTATTACCTTTCATTTATATTGAGTACGCTTGGACAAATTTATGTCGAAAATTTTTTACCACAAACGTAGTGTAAATTAATAATACCACACATGGAAAAGTACTTCAGATCTACAGTATTTATTTTTTTCTATTTAGGATGAGAGTTCAAGTGATGAAGAAGAGATGGAAGAGGAATATTCGTCCGACGAGGTAAAATTCTTTTATTTTCATTAATTGTAAATCCCAAATCATATGAAAATGGAAAAATAATTTTTGTGTGATCCTCTGCAACTCTTGAAGAATTGTTTTTGCATTGAGCTTTCAAAATGACTTTACATTTGTTTAATAAGTTCAAAGAAAAAAAATATTTCATTCTTTGATTAACATGTATTTAAAAAAAGGAAGCAAATAATACCAGAAAACCAGTGGTTCTAAACAACAAAAATTAATTAAGTTAAACAAGTATTTCTAACAATTTAGTCATAGTCAAGGAAAAAATGGAATTACTTTTGAGGGGATTAAATATTCAGAAAAGTTCATTTTTGGTGGGCAAGGCATTTATTCCAGGCCTGTATATTATGTATATCTCCCTGTATTGCAATCAAATGTGTCTCCAATATATGAAGAAAAAATGCAGTTTTAATTAATTAGATTTTGTAATATACATGCATCAATAGAACAATTTTTCATTCATATTGTTACGATGTAATACCCAGAAACAAAATTCGAATCATTAAATTTAAATTTGAATCATCATGAAAAAACAGTACAATGGGAATTATGCCTGCAACAGTACTTCAGAAAGAGAGAGAGAGAGGGAGAGTTAAAGGGAGTGGGTTAATAAATTTTATGTTTCATATATAGACCAGCTTAATAGAAGTATTTCTGATTAAACATCATGGCAGAATAAAGAATTCATATGCAGCAAGTTTAGTTGTCCTTGAAAAGAAGTATACAGATAACAGTCAAACAGACAGGGAAACATAGGAAACTGAACAGAAAAGCTCACTTATAAGCCTTTACCTCAGTTGAGCAGATCATAAACCAATTCTTCAATTGTAAAGAGCCTATTTGCAGCATATACAGATATCATGAGGATTATATTGACCTTGACCTCTTGACCTCTTTACAGGAAGGATCGGGAACAGGAGAGGAAGAGGAAGAAGATTTTGAAGAAGAAGGAGGAAAAATGAAATCGTATCATTGCAGGGCGGAGGAGGAGGTTTGTCCAGTGAGTTCTTATTTCTGTAAAAGCAGAATTTTTAGCAATTTTTAGCAAGGAGTTTATTTTAGCACTATTAGAAAGGGTGCCAAGAATGCTAAAATTGATTATCGCTAAATATTAATTGCATTTTATTTGTGATAGCCTCTTTGTTAGCATTTTAAAATCGGTAAAATTACTTACTGCTAAAAATAAAACAACCATTTTTAAGGATAAATAGCTAAATTTGTGTCTAGCTAAAATTTCCACTGATACGGTAGTTATAACACCACTTGTTCCATAATAGAATCTGAAATAAGCTGGACTAGACAATGTTCCAGACAAAACAAAATTTTCAACAGCTAAGTTTACTTAAAAGGACTTATAGTTAACATCATATTAGTCAAGATTTTGGAATATACATCGTTCGTTCAGCGTTTGTTCACCGTTCGTTCACCGTTCAGGCGGGAAAGTAGAACGTTTCAGGGACTGTAACTTTGATTAATATCTAAATACGCAATATCCGTGACGTCGTACTAAATTACTTTTACTATATTACACAAATGTTCCTCTTCAAAATAAACCCTAAGGCTTTTAATCTACCGGTACCTTACATTTTCATGTTCATTGCTGAAAGCGGGGCCCTTTGAGATGGCCACCATTTCAATGATATCTAGTTTTCTTTGTTCTGCAGCATCAGATTGCTGAAATATTGGCTCATGGGATTGGGATAGGTTTGATAACAGAACACACTTTTTAAAACAAAATTTTAAAACAAAATTTAGACATCCGTTGATAGAAACACATCTCAATTTTCACCTTTTGATGAACAAAATTAATATGGGTATATTCATTAAATGATTGTTCAAAATATGACATTTTTATACGCCCGTCTTAAGACGGGACGTATTATGTTATAGGCTTCGTGTCCGTCCGTCCGTCTGTCCGTCTGTCCGTCTGTCCATTCCTGTCCGGCTCATAACTTGAATACTATTAGGCCTAGGATTATCAAACTTTGTCAACTCATACTTCTTGGGTAGACGGTGTGTCGCGCACAAAAAGTAGGTCGCTCTGACCTTTAATAAAGATGCTATAGCCAAATATGGAAAAATCCTGTCAGGCTCATAACTAGAAAACTATTAGACGTAGAGCTTTCAAACTTGGTAAAAGTATACATCTAAAGTAGAAGGTGTGTCGCGGCCTATTTCAAGGTCACTGTGACCTTCAATTATAGTGAATTTTTTTAAAAAACTAAGTCTTTTAAATTCTAAATTTCATGGTCCTAAAAAATGTAAAAATATAGTTGTATGCTTATTAAAAAACGTTAAATTAAGTAAAAACTTGTTTTTTCTTTATATACTTTACAGCAATCTGTAACAATTGTTTATGCTTTGAGAGGAATTCAGTTTGCCCCATGGGCTTAATTATCAAGCACTGGTCAAGAAGAATTTTGATAGCAGAAATTTGCATGTCAAATTAGAGAGAAATTAATGAGTTTATTGTCTGGAGCTAAGAGCACCTCTAGATCTGGTGCAGTAGTTATCTTAATTCGTCTCTTGGGAGTTGGGCAAAAAGAAATGGCCTCATAGTTGCTTGTGCTAATTAAGAGTTCTTGATGGCTAGTCAAGATAAAGATCTTTCAATAGGTGTAATGAAATTAAAACAAATTGATGTTTTAGTGTATGATTAAAACTAAATTAGTATTGTATAATATGATTAAAACTAATTATATATGTGTTCATTTAAAAAAAAAAAATTAAATTTCAATTTTTATATATTTGCAACAAAGATGCTATAGCAATATATGGAAAAATCCTGTCCGGCTCATAACTAGAAAACTATTAGACCTAGAGCTTTCATACTTAGCAAAAGTATACATCTAAAGTAGAAGGTGTGTTGCGGCCTATTTCAAGGTCACTGTGACCTTTAATTAAAATGAATTTAAAAAAAAAATATGTCTTTTAAATTTTAAATTTCATAATCCTAAAAAATGTAAAAATTAAGTTGTATCCTTATTAAAAAACATTAAGTAAAAACTTATTTTTTTATTATATACTTTACAGCAATCTGTAACAAATGTTTATGGTTTGAGAGGAATTCAGTTTGTCCCATGGGCTTAATTATCAAGCACTGGTCAAGAAGAATTTTGATAGCAGTAATTTGCATGTCAAATTAGAGAAAAATTAATGAGTTTATTGTCAGGAGCAAGAGCACCTCTAGATCTGGTGCAGTAGTTATCTTAATTCATCTCTTGGGAGTTGGGCAAAAAGAAATGGCCTCATAGTTGTTGTGTTAATTAAGAGTTCTTGATGGCTAGTCCAGATAAAGATCTTTCAATTGGTGTAATTAATTAAAACAAATTGATGTTTTAGTGTATGATTAAAACTAAATTAGTATTGTACAATATGATTAAAACTAATTATACATGTGTTAATTGAAAAAAAATAATTAAATTCAATTTTTATATATTTGCTACAAATTGCAGTCATGTCTCACTAGTATTATTTGTTATAATCAATCCCTACACTGTAAGCCTCTTAGAGATGTATAATAAGAAATGGAAAATAGATAATTGAAATCTGTGTCAATCTTTTAATCATGGCTACCTGATTTTCTTGCATCCTAACCAATTTATGATTATTGAACAATATTTGACGGGCGTATCATGCTGTGGCGGGGCACTTTATTGATTAATGTTAATTAAAAACTGCTGTTTAAAAAAATTGTATACGTAACAGGTCAGAAGTGTTACAATCTTCAACAAATAATATTCAAAAATTAAGGTAATTTGATTTCCAAACATTTGCCTTAAGTCAATTACGTCACCTATCTGGGATGTATGGTTCTTGTTTTAAAGTTGTAGATTTATAAGAAAAGTCACTTTAGCTGATGTTTTTTCATTCTCTTCCCAGGAAGAAGCTATGGACGTTGATGAATTGTGTTTGGAGTCTGAGGTATGTTTTAATTACGATATATTTATTTAGTCCCATGATTACTACATGTAAGTGAGATCTAGAATGTATAGAAAGAACATTTATTCAATTAAGCCAAAGGAATACTTTGCAGTATATATATTAGCTAAGTACTGTACAGTAGTTAATACCAGACAGATATGTGTTGCTTAAAAATGACTGAATTGCTACACAGTGAACATGTTGAAGGCCATATTTAAGGTGGACAAAGATTTGCTAAAAATATAATCATGCTTGTTTACGTAAGGGATAAATAAGGATAAAAAATAAAGGTCAAACTGAAAAGCAGATGGAATATTTGTTAACAATTGAAAGGAATAATTTCACTGAGTTGAATGATCAGCCTTTTTAGGTCACCTGAGTAAACTCAGGTGACCTATTGCTATCCGTTTTCGTCCGTCGTCGTGCGTCGTGCGTCGTGCGTTGTGCGTCGTGCGTTAACATTTGAACATTTTCAGCTTCTTCTCTGCAACCACTGAACCAATTTCAACCAAATTTGGCACAGAGCATCTATAGGTGAAGGGGAACAAAAATTGTGAATTTCATGACCCCTGCCCCCCTGGGGCCTGAGGGGTGGGGCCAAAACCACTAAAATTAATGCAATCTTTAAAAATCTTCTTCTTTACTCCTGGATATCAAGCAGTCAAACTGTTTGCATGATTGTAATAAGCAATGAGTCCTCTACCAAAATTGTGAAATTCATGGCCCTGGGGTCAGGGGTTCAAGTGCTAGGGCGGGGCTAAATAATTAGGTAGTGAAAATGCATTATTTCTTTGAAAATCTTCTTCTCTGCTCCTGGGTATTAAAAAAACCAACTAAATACATAGTTATGATGAGCAAGAGTGCCTCTACCAAAATTGTAAATTTTATGGCCCCAGGGTCAGGGGTTCTGGTGTTAGGGCGGGGCTCTATTGATTATATATAGTGAATATACATGAATTCTTTGAAAATCTTCTTCTCTGCTCCTGGGTATTAAATAAACTTACTAAGTACATAGTTATGATGAGCAGGAGCGCCTCTATCAAAATTGTGAATTTTATGGCCCCAGGGTCAGGGGTTCTGGTGTTAGGGCGGGGCTCTTTTGATTATATAGTGAAAATACAAGAATTCTTTGAAAATTTTCTATTCTGCTCCTGGGTATTAAATAAACTAACTAAGTGCATAGTTATGTTGAGCAAGAGTGCCTCTACCAAAATTGTGAATTTTATGGCCCCAGGGTCAGGGGTTCTGGTGTTAGGGCGGGGCTCTATTGATTATATAGTGAAAATACATGAATTCTTTGAAAATCTTCTTCTCTGCTCCTGGGTATTAAATAAACTAACTAAGTGCATAGTTATGTTGAGCAAGAGTGCCTCTACCAAAATTGTGAATTTTATGGCCCCAGGGTCAGGGGTTCTGGTGTTAGGGCGGGGCTCTATTGATTATATAGTGAAAATACATGAATTCTTTGAAAATCTTCTTCTCTGCTCCTGGGTATTAAATAAACTAACTAAGTACATAGTTATGATAAGCAGGAGTGCCTCTATCAAAATTGTGAATTTTATGGCCCCAGGGTCAGGGGTTCTGGTGTTATGGCAGGGCTCTATTGATTAAATAGTGAAAATACAAGAATTCTTTGAAAATTTTCTTCTCTGCTCCTAGGTATTAAATAAACTAACTAAGTGCATAGTTATGTTGAGCAAGAGTGCCTCTACCAAAATTGTGAATTTTATGGCCCCAGGGTCAGGGGTTCTGGTGTTAGGGCGGGGCTCTATTGATTATATAGTGAAAATACATGAATTCTTTGAAAATCTTCTTCTCTGCTCCTGGGTATTAATTAAACTAACTAAGTACATGTACATAGTTATGATGAGCAAGGGTGCCTCTTCCAGTATTGTGAATTTTATGACTCCAGGATCAGGGGTTCTGGTGTTAGGGTGGGGCTCTGTTAATTATATAGTGAAAATACATGAATTCTTTGAAAATCTTCTTCTCCGCTCCTGGGTATTAAATAAACTAACTAAGTACATAGTTATGATGAGCAAGAGTGCCTCTATCAAAATTGTGAATTTTATGGCCCCAGGGTCAGGGGTTCTGGTGTTAGGGCGGGGCTATATAGATTATATAGTGAAAATGCATTTATTCATTGAAAATCTTCTTTTCTGCTTCTGGGTATTAAATAAACTAACTAAGAACATAATTATGATGAGCAAGAGTGCCTCTACCAAAATTGTGAATTTTATGGCCCCAGGGTCAGGGTTTCTGGTGTTAGGGCGGGGCTCTATTGATTATATAGTGAAAATACATGAATTCTTTGAAAACCTTCTTATCTGTTCCTAGGAATTAAATAAACTAACTAAGTGCATAGTTATGATGAGCAGGAATGCCTCTTCCAAAATTGTATATTTTATAGCCCTAGGGTCAGGGGTTCTGGTGTCAGGGTGGGGCTCTATTGATTATATAGTGAAAATACATTAAGTCTTTGAAAATTTTCTTCTCTGCTCTAGGGTATTAAGCAGATGAAATACCTTTATAGTTATGATGGACAAGGGCTCTAATCTTCCAGAATTGTGAATTTCAAGGCCCCAGGGTCAGGGGTACCATAGAAGGGGGGGACTCTACTTATATACTGAAAATGAATGAATGGTTTGAAATCTGCTCCTTGGTATAAATCAAATATCAAGGCCTAAGGGTCAGGGGTTCATGTGTGGTAGGGGCACTACTGATTATTGCTGAATATTACTGATTAGTTGAAATGCACTTTTTGCTCCCCTACCCTGGGTATGGGCATTAAGTAAACAAACAATGGTGCCTCTTTCAAAATTGTGAATGCCATAGCATCTGGCTTAAAACATGAATCAAATTCAATCACTGGAAAGTTGTTGCATAATGCTCAGGTGACCTATAAGGCCCATGGGCCTCTTGTTTTCAAAAGCTGATCATGATTGACAAGTTGACCGGTATAAAATCCTATTTTACCTTTTTTATTAAAAGACATAAACCGTACAAGTGGAATTTTTATTGATGATTTTATTTTGGCATTATTAGTGAGGGTGCTGTTGATTGCTAAAATTAAATATCGCTAAAAATTGATTGCATTTTATATGCATTAGCTTCTTTCGTGAGTAATTTAAAATCACCAACATTACATCTCGCTAAGAATTCAATGCCACTTATACCGTAATTATATCTTAATGATATTTTGATTGATCAATTTGTATCTTACAATCATCTTAATATTAGTATTGATTTTAAGGTAGCTTACATGTAATTATAAAGAAACCTTTCTTCACTGCGCACTAAAGAGTTCTGATTCTATTGTATTTGTTCTGCAGTTTACTATAATTATAATGTTTTATTTTGAATCCATAAATTTCAGATTGACGATATCCACTCTAAAATGAAAGAAAATGTAGAAAAAGTACTAGAGAGGGGTGAAAAACTAGACAATTTAACTGAGAAATCACAAACACTTATGGTTAGTTGATTGCCTGTTTTATACCGTATACTAAGTAGAAATTTTAGCAAGGATTTAATTTTGGCATTATTAGCAAGGGTGCCGAGATCCCTAAAATTGAATGTCGCTAAAAATTAATTGAGTTTTATTTGTAATAGCTTCTTCAGTATGCAATATAAAAAACGCTAAAATAACATCTCGCTAAAAATAGATTACCAATTTTAAAGGACAAATCGCTAAATTTGCGTCTCGCTAAAATTTCCACTTATACGGTATATGCATGTTTGTTTTCCATTTAACTGGCCCAGTGTCTGTACATGTTAACATGAATTTGGTACTGTGGGATAACATTACTTTCATCAGATAGCCCAATATTGTGGACAATGCAGAAAATATTCAATAGATGCAAAATAGTTGTCTTGATATTGGACTGATGAAGAATAAATTATTTAATAAGGATGCATCCCCTGTCATCATGGACATGGGTTCACTGTTTATGAAGGCGGGGTTTGCTGGGGACGACGCCCCCCGAGCAGAATTTGAGACAACAGTAGGACGTCCTCGACATCGGGGCGTGATGGTCGGCATGGGACAGAAAGACTCATACGTCGGAAAAGAGGTCACAGGTCAGGGTTCTTGTAACTTATTGATAAATATTATTTCTTTCTTGTATCAGTACAAGTATTAAGAATTCAATTATAACAATTATCATTTCAGACTACTTTTATCATTTTGAAAAGCTTTACTTACTTATAAGACTTAGTATAAATTCTTTAATTTAATTTTATTGTTCACTATTATTATTTTTCCTTGAAAATTTTGCAAAATTAAAAAAAAGTGTTACCATAAAGAATTAAAAAATAACCCACTGGCATGGCAAATAAAAGGACATATCTTGTCTTATTGGTGATTTCACTACATTATCCACAACATATCTAAAAAAGAAAGGTTCCTGTCTTGAGCATTGAATACTTTTTTTTATAGGAGCAAAACCTGTTGTAGGAAGAGTATTGGAAAAGCTTCCTTTATCTTTGGAAGGTAAGCTAAATGAGTAATAAGGAACCCATGTTACCAGCAATGGAATTAATACATATATTATGATATCATATTAAAAACCCCTGGATACATAGGTCACTTTTAACTAGATCTCTAGTGACTGTCTTACACAAGCCCTAGTCTAATGCCTAGGTCACATTTAAGCCGATGGTCGGGCGACTAAATTTTTCTGGTCTTGTCGGCTGAAAGAACAGGATCGGCTGACACAGTATCGGACTACACGGAGCAGTCACATTAATTCCTAGGGACACCGATGACTTGGATAAATAACACAAAAAATCTTTTTCTTTAGATACCATAAATATTTTTTCATAGATCTATATCCCGGTATGTGACGTGAGTAATGTTTACAAGGCAAAGTGGCAGAATCTTATAAAATTGTGACTCAGTGTTTAAAATGTGTGCAAAACTTTGCATGGAATTGCATAAAAACGTCAAATGGTGCATATCTAAGCAGCAAAGAATACTTAAGATTTCTTTATATCTTACGGATTAATCATTTCTGTTATTTCCATTCAAAAAATATATCTTAATCCATGCATCAAAATTTTGTTTGTGTTATGCATCCTTCATAGGTTAAATATTCATAAGTCGGCCAATCATCACCCGATCATTGAGCTCTGAGCTACAGTTTGATTTTAACTGTCGGCCGGAATTTTAAACACCCTCATTGTCCAACGACGGACGACCGACTTAATAAACTGACCGTCGATGGTCGGACGATGATCGAAGGTTGGTCGACGGATAATTCTACATGTAGAAATCGGCCACCGACGCATAAAAAATTATAACTTGGACCTATGGACACAAAATTGGTCGGCCGACAAAAAAAGAGGTCAAAATCGGCCAAGACAACGGTCGATGAACTGACGACTGTCATCCGAAGAATCCCATTTTTGCTTCAAAACCCGTCGGCCGTTGGTCGTTTTTGGAAATGTGACTGGGGTTTAAGTCTAAGCAGAAATCATATCTGAGCAGGTATGAATATTAATCTGAGCAGTGGTCACAAATTTATATTTAGTTGTGTAAAAAAGTTTCTGTCCTTTCGTCTGAATTTTTTTAAAAAATAAGAAATAGTGCTGTCATTTGATTAATATTCTTAAATGCATGAATCAAGTACTGTAAACCAACTTTGATAGGCGACGATTTTATTTCGCAATGTACCGATCGGAAGTTAAAACTAGTTCGCAATGATTAATTTTCACGATCAAGCCTTTTTAAATCTGTAGTTAATAGACGTATAGACTTTAAGGACTAGTTCGCGGCGACATGCAAATATTCGCCATGACGAGGATCTCGCGAACTTCACGAAAATTTCTTGCACGCGAATAAAAGTTGGTTTACAGTATAAACCATCAGCCTTATTTAAAGCTCATAGATTAACATCACTCCTCTAGGATATGTGGCATATTTTCAGAAAGCATGACTTGTGTTTTAAATTCTTGAATAAGTTTCATATTTTAGAAAAAAAAATCAAAGACAGATTTGTATGGAAACTGCACCTTGTTCTTCTGTGCTTGATGATAAAATCTTTAATTTGATTCTTTCTACACTACTATAAGTAAACAGTATACTAATTTTTTTTAACATTTGTATCTTCTTATGTAGAACAAAAATGTTAATCAAACTTGCCACATCTAGCAGCTTTTGGTTTAGTTGAAACAATTTCAACAAATTAAGAGCAAGACCCTATTTTAAAGACAGCATGTATTTTCCTTTTGTTTTAAATTCAAAGATGTACAGTCATGTGTACAGTCAAGTGCATGGGGAATGGGTGCTCCAAGGCAACTATCAGTTTTTTTTGGATTGTCAGATGAACACAATTTTATTGATCATAAAAAATTTCAAAAAATGCTTCAATTGATAACAAAGTATACCTAGATCTCACAAGATGATTTAGTAAGGGTTTTTTTTCTGCACCTTCTCAGTTAAAGACAAATTCATGTATTATATATATATATATATATATATATATATATATATATATATATATATATATATATATATATATATATATATATATATATTATAGTGTTGCATGATATTCTGATTACTCTTATCTAGAATCTGAAGAAGAAGATGTAGACATGGCTTTTGCTCTTTTTGATGATGATGATGATGATGATGATGATGAGTCATGTACGTATCACATGATATCACTAACACATTTTGAAAGTTTCAAAATTTTCTAAATTAGATTGGATAAAAATCTTTCAAAAGTTAAATTTCTTGTACTAGATAACTTTTTTTTTCTCTACAGTTGACGAATTACCTAAGGAAAAAGCACCACCAAAAGAAGTAAGTACCAGGTTCTAATTATCGTTTTTATTGATTCAGAAACAATTTATATATATTGTAAAGAAAACACATAAGGCTGTGTAGTCTATTTACCACGGTGACAGTGATTTTGGCAGAATCAGGTGTCACAGTGGCAAAATCAACTATATCACTATATCCTGTATATGTATAATATCTACATTGTCCTCAATTGGATAGACACTAACTTACAGTTAAAATAAGCTTACTAAGTAGTACTTTATACATTTCAACCTAACTGCCTTTTAATGGAAGGTACTTATGTACATGTATCAGCCGTAAATAGTTATAGTAAATTTTAAAAGCTAGTGTAAGAGATTATATAATCCCTATTTGTTAAACATGAGGGTTGTACTATACAAAAGTTGGAGTTAGAAAAAATATTTGTACTGAGCAAGCACAGTGTTTGCAATTGACATTTTCATCATTTTGTCCAAATGTCATATCCTTTAAGAAACAACATTTAAAGGGTTTAAATAATGCTCGATGATGAAAGAATTCAATTAATTTAAACCATAATAAATGTTAAAAATTTTATTTACTAATTTCCTAGCAATAGCCTATAGAAAGATACAAAAATATAAAAAGATATGCAGTTGATTTATAAACTAAAGTATTTATTTTAAGATAACTGACATTATAAACAATTATGCAAAAGAATGATAAGAGCAAGCTAATGTCAGATACATTTCAAGTTATGGTATCATCCTACTGTTTCAGGGACACATTTGCAAAAGATATATTTTGATTTCATTTTATCATGAATTTATAAATATATAAATATTTATATATATCATAAAATTAAAGTTCCAGAAAAGAGGACCAGCTGTTCGTCCTCCCCATCAACAGAATCTTATGAAGATGTCACGCCCACCACCCTCACTACCTGTACATCTTCCCAGAGAACAGGTGCTTGAGATGAGACCACCACCTCCACCAATGGATGACGAATTCTCTGAATCAGATGAGGAAGATTATGAAAGTTTGTAATACTGCTTTTTACCATGAGATATTTTTCAGAATTATAACGATCATTTAAGAATTCTTGAACTTTTTGAGCCCTTCCATTGCACAGCAAAATCTATGCTATAACTCATTAAAAAATTTAATGTCTTTTTAAACAGAACCTGATACTTCATCGATTAAACGAGATTATGCCAAAGTTCCAGTGGGGATGGCATTAGGAGTTAAGGGTATGTGTTATTTTGTGTCATTTATTTCGGTTACTTCACTTTTTAAAGTAAAAATTCAAGGCAAATTAGTAGAAGTACTCGGTACACAGACATTTAATTTTGAATTTCTTGATAATTCTTTGGAAGAAAAATAACATTTAATGTATTAGGAATTTCTTTGTCCCAAACACAATTTTAGGGGTAAATTTGTTCCCCATAAAAATGTTAGGAATTACTTTGATTACAAAGTAAAACATGATGTCTTTAAACCTTTGTTTTACCTTTTTTGTGTGGAATCCTGTTTAAAATCAAAATGTAGATTGATTTATTTTCATGATGGTAAAACTGTATAAAAAACATGAAAAATCTGTCTCGAATTATACACTGTAACCATGTTTTAGGTTTGTATGTTGTTTAGAATTCCTTGAGAATATTTTCAATCAAATTGAGATACCACCACTTTACAGTGTAGAGATGCACATTTTGTCCTATACTCGGCACTCAGGGCCATTAAGCATAGAGGGATCTTTTTTGTGCCAGCACGTACTGTGACACAGGACCTTGATTTATTGGGTCTCATCCGAAAGCTTCCTCACATCCCACAGTGGAATTTGAACTCTCGATGAAAAGGTCAACTTCTTACCCTGCAACTCTAAAGCAGATGTTCTAATCCCTGCTTTACAGTTTTCGAATAATATGGAGTAGATTGTTCTTACAATGTTATCTCTTTAAAGCTCTTTTGTCTTTGTTATTTAAAAGTCCTTGAAAAGGGATGAAGAAGTGTCTGGTTATGCTCGCAGTCTAGTTAATGAATAGTTTACTATGAAAAAAACATTTTCATCGATCACCTAAATTTTTTCATAAAATTTTCAAAATGAAAAATGGGCAACTTGAGAAAAAAACAGAGTTAATCTTTTGTATGACAATAAAGGATAAGTTGATGAAATAAGATCTTACCGGTAATTATAGTAAGTTCATATTTTACCTGCTTAGTTTGAGAAAAATATTGATTCTGATTCAAATCTAGAATCTGAAAAGGAAGACCTTTTCTCTGGGTTTTTTTGGGGCCAAGTATGTATCTATATAGTACATATTCTGATAAGTTTAACTTATTAATTTTTCTAAATAAGTAACATTTAATTAAAATCTCCCAAAAATTGAATTTATTGATTCTTCGTAGGTGAACTATCAAAGAAAGAACCATCACCTAAAAAAGTAAGTACTTGTTTACCTTGTTATAATGAAAGAAAATATATTATTAGCATGATAAGGAAACAGATTTAGTGTGTGTTCTGATTAATTAAAGTCTTTTTGGAATGCAACTACTACTGTATTAATAACATCACTTTTTTGATTATATTTTTTTTTGCATATACATATATACGTGTATTTAAGGAATAACTGTCTTATTTTTCGAATTCATGAAGTGATCAATGGATTGGCTTGTGTGATAATTTGCATAAGCGCCGAAGGCGTTTATGCATAAAATTATCACACAAGCCAATCCATTGATCATCTTCATGAATTCGAAAAATCTGACAGTTATTCCTTATATTTACATGCTTTGATTCCGCCAATCCACGGGCTCCAAGCCTGCTTATCTGTAGGTGTTGTCCCGCCCTGCACGTGGATTTTTTTGGAACCGCGCCAAAACATTCATGAGGAAATATTTACATTCAGTATAATTTTCCTTATCAAATCCATTAGAAATCCACGACGTTCAAATTTCTATAACACACGCGAAACCTTGTCACCGCGCGTTAGAATACACAGTAGGAACTATATGCATTTTCAATACTCTAGAAACACCAAAATGTAAAATGTTTTATTTCAATTTAATGAAAAACTACAACCCCGAAAAAGTAACGTAGAAACTAAGGTAATGTACGTTAAGAATTAATTTGTCACTTTTTTAATCGCAATGATTCTTTGCGTTATTTAACTTTGCAACGTCACTTAACGTCATCTGACGTCACAAACGGCTCTTACGTCTATTTACTACGATAGTTTTGAAGGGTGCTAAATTCACATTAAGGTAGGATTCTTCTCTGGTTTCTGACTAGATGAAACATTCAAAGTATATTTGCTTATATGTCTTATATATTGAGGTGTAAGGAATTTAAAAGATCGTATTTTTCTTTCCTCATCACAATTGTACAACTTTAAATAGAAATGGTAAACTGCGTTTGAAAACTAGCAGGGACTATATTTTTGGCGAAATGGTGGCGTATGAAAATATCTTCTTTTCGGCCTCTCAAAATAATTATAGAACAATGAATTTAGTTATAATTTTTACACAATCGAAGAATTGGAGAAATTTTCAAATGTAAATTAGATTAATAATAAGGGACTAAACTTTCAAAATATATCAAATAAATATGATTTTTCAAACAAACTAGAACTTTATTAGCTTTTAAACGCTTCCTATTGAAGTGCAGATTTGAGCCAAAAATCCATAAAAAGTATTATTTCTCTCGAAGTAAACGATCAAAACTTTTTGTTTATGTATCATTTTGTACATTTATAAGACTACTTTGTTATATGTGAAAATAAGAAAAAGTTAAATATAGGAAGAATTTGAAAATAACTAATATATACTAAAATATTAGGAAAAACAGAGAAAATTCGGATTAGCCAATATCCAATTAAGTTATATTATCTATGTAAATTTGGTAATATTATGCTATAGACCCGATATAGTTATATGTTTTTATGCAAAAAGAACAATCATTTAACTTTTGAAATAGAAGTAGGTATCACATGATTGGCAACAGTTAGTTTTTATTCTTAATGTAAAAGAAAAACAAAATGACCTTGACCTGACCTTGTCTCTAATATAAAACGGTCAAATTTTATTTCACTGATACTATCACTTACTGATATAATCTTCTTGATTCTGTGAAAATTTCATTAATTTTTAAATATTAGAAATATGAGAAGAATCCTACCTTAAATGTTAACGAAATAAGCAATTATGAAGAAGGAAAATTAGAGAATGTAATTATAAGCATTGAATTCATATTTTTGGCTGTCTTCGGTCCTATAACACACCTGGCCGTGCCGACAAATTTATCATACCGCGCTAACGCGCGTTATTCAATTTGTCGGCACGGCCAGGTGTGTTATAGGACCGAAGACAGCCAAAAATATGAATTCAATACTTAAATAAATTACATTTACAATTGGAAATTTTATCTCGGACAAAGACATTGGAAATGTAAATATTCATGTGTACATATAAGCTATTTCCAAATTTACCCTACCTAGTATAATAATTTTCACTAAATGTTGCACACATTTAATATATTAAATTTCATATAATCTTTATATGAATGATTTCTAATTTATACACTGAAAAGTAATTTTTGAACATTTCTGCTGATAATTAGAACTTAACAATTAGCATAAGATATGAATGCGTCATTATGAACAGAAAAAGAAATCATCTCGAAGCTCTCATCTTAAGTTTGATAATAAAAGTCATCTGGTTTATAGGATATAAGGTTCTTCAATTATAAAAAAAGAATTTGTTATTAAAAAAAAAAGGTACAGTCATGTAACTTTTGAGAAAGCTTTTTTGACAATACTAGTGAATGGGTTTTTCTCTTGCATGTTTGGATTAAAGATGTTATATTATTCAATCATTAATATTTTTATTTGAGATCATATAGTGTAATATACATTTATTGAATATATGGTATCAGTCAAAAGACCTGAATATTTTTCCCAAGGTACTTGAAGCAGCTAGATGTGTTACAACAACAGGGGATGTTTACTACTCCAAGACACCCGATCCCACATGTTTCCAGGGGCCCCTGTTTTATGCCCTCTTTACATTTGTATAAGTGGAAAATTTAGCTAGAATCAAATTTAGCAATTTGTCCTTAAAAAATTGGTATTTTATATTTAGTGAGATGAAATTTTATCGATTTTTAAAACCTCACTTAAGAAGCTATTACAAATAAAGCGCAATTAATTTTTGATATTAATTATGCCAAAATTAAATCCTCGCTAAAACTTCTGCTTATAGGGTACTTATATATTTATTTTAATATCAATTTTTTTAACAGTTGTAAAATGTTTACAGCAACCTTCTCCAAAACAGCAGGGTCTTGTTCATCATGATGAATTGTTATTGAAATATTTTCATGTTTTCTGGATCAAAGTTCATTTTAAAACAATATCCATTTCAGCTAGGAAGTGGCCTCAATCATAGTTTTTCATCAGAGATAATTTGTTTTGGAAATTAGAGTAGGTTCTAGTTTAGCATTTTTGTCACTGGACTATTTAATGCTTAAATACATCGAAAATATTTTCTTCAGTTTTCATAAAGAGTATTAGGAACATTCAAGAGCTTTGTATTTAAGATCAAAGACTCTAAAGTCTCCGGTGAACAATTACATGACCGGCAAAGTAGACAGCTCAGAGAACTTAATTACTGTGCTAAATGGATCTCTAATGTTTAAAAACACCTATTTAAACCGAAAGTTTACAAATGGACATACAGACAGACAGCTAGACATACAGACGGACAAAATGTGATCAGAAAAGCTCACTTGAGCTTTCAGCTTAGGTGAGCTAAAAAGTAAGAAATCAATATATGTTGAAAGAATTTTTTTAAGCATGTCAGAATTTTTTTTTAGATCAGTCCCTAAATATTTAACTCATGGTATCCAACTTCTTTCAATTTTCCAAAGAACTAGTATTTTATGTACGACATGCAGTTCTAATGAAATATAATTTCCCGTTCTTAGTGCACTTACCAAGTGAATTTAATCCTGCTCCTTGCAGAATATCCATGCATTTTGTGATGTCAATTCCAAAAGTCTCCTCCAAATTCGCACCAAGTTTCCATAAATTGTTCTGTTGAGGAAAAAATGTATTTGAGACTAAACACATTTATTAATATGTGTAAAACATTTACAGTCAAATATAATTGTTCATGTAGTCTAAATCTTTATTTCAATAAATCTTAAGAAAGATTCATGTAATGATCGTAAATTTTGCAAATGTATGATATATTTTTCACCAAATATACATGTACCTTTAGTTACATACATAATTATGTACAAATGTTAAAGAAGTAAATTAAATATACAGGTACAGTCTGAAATACTGAAGAATTTTTTGGAAGTTCTTTATATTGAGGGTCAAGGTAATGATCAAAGGAAGTGTACTTCAGAATACTTCTTGCATGGCTATATAATGTACAAGTTTAATGTACAAGTAATGTACAGTAATGCTTCTATACCATACCCCCACCTCCACCCCACCCCACCCCAAAAAAGAACCCCCCCAAAAAACAAAACTTTGCATACATATAGCAGTGGAATTGCAATATACCATTATGAACAAAGAACACTTCATTAATTTATATAATAATGTTAAATCTACACATATTATGAGTTAAACATTACCTCTTGAATATTAAACATGGCTTGTTGTGAAGATATATTCAGTAGTGGGGTCTCCTTTAGAACCCTACTGACAGAAGATCCAATACCATAAGTGTTGACATCAAAAGCTCTCAATGAATAGAATGTAAAAGAGTACCATTAAGGTGTACTTTTTTTTTACCAAGACATTAGAATTTCGTTGTATTGATACATGTATGATTACATGCTTATATGATTAGTTAAGAGCAAAATTGTTCTGCACTACATTTATCAGAATTCTTTTAAAACACTTTCAATATTGGTCAGTTTTTGTTATGTCTTTGGTGACCCCGTGTATGTGGTGTCACAATATGAAAAATCAAACTGAATGTAGCTACATGTATTTTAATGCCCCATCTCTCATTAAATGCTTTTTATATGACTTTTAAAAATTGTACGATAAAGATCCCTCCCTGCTCAAAGGCCGTAAGTGCTGAGCATAGCCTAAATTTGC